TGACCGGTCATCCGTTGCAGAGACGGAATTCCTTGCACGCTTTAGCTGACACTAGTGTCCAGAAACATTTGCCTTTGAGTAGAGCAGCGGACTGTTCATCCCAACCCACCATGGTCTGTTGGGCATTTTAAACGCTTCAAAGTGCAAAGTTGTATTACTATTCAAAATGTACAAACGTATCGTAAGGAAAAAAGTAAAAATTGCATTGAAGTTGTATACATTTTTTAGGATTATGACAACCCGGGGTCACATGAAAAATGGAGTCAATGGAAGGCTCTGTCGGCGCCTTCTCGTGGACCTATTGTTTATTTTTGTTTCTTCATGAGTTTCTACGGCTTTTTTTTGTTTTCTCACCTTTTTTGTTTTGATCCCGATTATTAATTCCTTTTTTCTGTTTTTTTGCTTCCATTCTTTTTCTTGTTTTTGTTTCTTTTTCTTTAATAGCCTTGGTTTTCTCCGGTGTCCTTGCATTCTTTTTATGTTTCATTTTCTGATTTTGTTTTCCTTTCTGCATTGTTTTTTTTTCATTTTTTGTTATGGTTTATATTTGTTGTTGTTTTCTTCATTTCATTTATGTTTCTTTCTTTCTTCTCATCATTTTTTTCTTCAACGCAAATCCAATGTTTCTTTGGTTTTCATTATACCATTTTCACATTTTTGGTTTAACATTTTTCATATACATAAATGAGTCGTTGTTTCAATCTCTCCTATCGCAACAACTGAGTTGTTGTTTCAATCTCTCCCACCGCAACAACTAGTCTACTGCAGGATCTGGATCTCGCGCAAATCCTTGACAACCACTATGTCTTCTCTCCTTTCACCCCGAGGCAGCGGCAGCACAACGAGGTGGTCCCGGCTTGCTGTGAGTCAGGGGTCTGGCGCCCTCGCCGCCATGGTGCACTGTTGCAACCGGTGGTTGGGCGTGGTCGCCACCGTGGTGCTTGCCGTCCACCTCCACCATGTCTGTCGACTGCGCGTGGTGCACACACCTTGTCGGAGAGGAGGATGGGTGATCTGGTCGGCGGCCCGACGCCCGTCGACAGTGACGGGCAACACTACTCCTCCCTCACCACCGTTTGACGGGAGCTCGTGGCGTACGATGGTGGTCTTTTTCTGCAACATCCTCCCTGTTGCAAGAATGATTTCTGCAACATTTGTGATGTTGCAAAACTTCTTCAGTAGATAGTAGCATATAAGGAGATTTTTTGCAACATTAGCTCTGTTCCAGGAAAATTCCTGCAGCAGTACCTCTGTTGCAAAAGTTCCGCAACATGAACTCTGTTACAAATGTTCGAGCGCAACATCAACCTTGCTGCAAAAATCGTAGCTGAATTTAACGGCTCCCCGCGTAGCGTTGCCCATACAATTTTGACATTTTTTAATACATGGTCAATTTTTCTATATATACTTAATTTTTTTGAATAAAAGATTAACATTTTTTATGCATGGTCAACATTTTTTGATACACATTCTAAACATTTTCAAATTCTAGATTGACATTTTTTCAAATAAAAGACTAACATTGCTTTAATACATGCTCAAATGTTTTTCTATACTCATTTAACATTTTTCAAATTCTTGATTAACATTTCTTCAAATGCAAGATTAACATGTTTTAATAGACGGCTACATTTTTTGTACATACACTTAACATTTTTTGAAATTGAAGATTACGATTTTTTAAATACATGCTAAAAAAAATTCTATACACGCTTAGTTTTTTTTCTAAATGGTTGATTAACATTTTTTCATGCAAGATTAACATTTTTCGAATGCATGGTCAACATTTTCTCTGTATACACTATCAACATTTTTCTATGTACATTTAACATTTTTCAAATGCTTTATTAACATTTTTAAAATACAAGATTAACATTTTTAATACATGGTCAATATTTTTTATACACATTTATCATTTTGAAGTGCTTGATGAACAGTTTTTGAATGCATGGTCAATATTTTTTCTATATAAATTTAACATTTGTCAAATGCTTTATCAACTTTTTCAACCACAAGTTTAACATTTTTTGAATACAATACAATATTAAATATATTTTAATACAAGGTCAACATTTATTCTATGGAACTTTAACATTTTTTTAATGCTTGATTAACATTTTCCAAATGCTTGATTAATACTTATGAAATACATGTTAAACATTTTTTTAATACACGGTCAACATTTTTTATATACACATTTAACAATTTTAAAATACTTGCTTAACCATTTTTTCAAGTGCCTAATTAACATTTTTAAAATATGTGATCAATTTTTTTCACACACATCAAATATTTTTATATACGTTTTGTACACATGAGTAAAGTTTTCTCTACACACATTTAACATTTTCAAATGCTTGGTTAACATTTTTTTAATATGCTTTATGTAAAGTGTTTTGTGTACTATATTTAGAATATTTGAAAGAATAAACAAAAGAAAGACATGAAAAAGAGGATGTGGCTCCGCGCACCTGGGCCGACCCAACTCGCGACTCCCTTCTTCAGGAGAGGGTTCCCTCTGTCTCACGTGAAGCAAGACATAGGGCCGCCCGTCTCGTGCAGGCGAGACGAAGAGAGCATTGCCCCTCTGATGGTGGTGGGCCGAGGGTATGGTGGGCCGGAGGCACGGGTGGAACTTGAAACTCACTCATCGCTCCTGGCCCTTCGAAAAAAAATTAAATTTGAAAAACTTCATGCATCCTAGAAAAGAAAAAAGAAAAACCGTACAGAAAAGCCAAACAAAGAAAAATCAAACCTTCCAAAACTTAACAAAACTAGCCTAGGAAGCTTCTGGAAACTTCCCAAACCCAAGAGCGTCCCACTCGTACCTAAGATGGTGAAACGATCCATTCTAACCGTATCGAACAAAGGGGGGGGGGTGCGTCTTTTACCAAAAGCGTTGTAACCAGTGAAGCTAGCGACAAATAAGAATTGGGGTTTTGTCTCTGGCTGAGGGCGAGACAAAGCCGACGCCGAAATCACTAGTTCAGGGGCACCCCTTGCAAAGGTTACTCCCACCTTCTCAGCGTTGACAAGTGGCGTACTGCATGTTCGCCACTTGTCGTAATCTGAGAGTTTTCTCATTTTTTTCATAGATTTGTTTTTTCAAAACGTTTTATTGCTCGCACCATGTGTCCAAATTTTGAATCGTTTTCACCATTGAATTTCTCGCGTCGAGATCTATGAAACTAAATCCCATTTTAATGCCAGTTTCAACTTATTTTCCTTTTCAAGAAGCAAAGATTTGTGCCTCCATGAGATGCAAGTATGTGCTTCTAGTGGAAGCACAAAAAAGCACGGGGAAAAATCATAATTTTTTCTTTCCGAAGAATCATAGTTGTGCAGAAAAAAGTTCATAGAAACAAATCATGATTGTTTTCCTTTTCTCGCAGAAGCAAATATGTGCTTTGAAAAAGCCAGAAAAAGTATGCAAAAAATAATATTTTTTCCCTTCCCGAGAAGCACAACTTCTCACGGGAGCAAATCTATGTCTTCATAAAAACAAATCTGTACTTCTCGTGGAAGCAAAAACATCACGCAAAAAAATAATTATGTGATTTTTTCTTTTGCTTTTCGAGAAGCACAGCTATGCTTCTCGCATAAGCAAATTTGTGCCTCCACGAAAAGCAAATTTGTGCTTATCCCGGAAGCACAAAAAAAAATCTTTGCACCAAAAAGAACATTCACAATTTTTTACTCCAAAACCTAGGAAAACCAGATGTAACTCAGAAAACTGAAAAAAAAACATCTGAAACTCGAAAACATGTAAAAAGAATAAAAAACAAAATTCAGAAGGAGCGCCTAGCACACGTCACGTGGCGACGGCTGAACGAACCACTTGACGTGCTCTTAGCCCATACAAAGTGACCCTTGCGGCCCTTCCGCAAGGGATACTCCTTTATCTTTTTTGATAAACTTCTTCTCCTTTATTCATTCATAAGTAAAGTAGCATCGTTTACAAGTAAAGGGATAACCTCATCAGGGGCGTTATCCATCCAAACACTCGGAGATGAGGACCTAGCTAACCTTGCTAGTTCATGAGCTACTCAATTACGTTCTCTATTACAATGATCATAAATGACATGGGAAAAACTAATGACATGAAATAACAGTCATCTATAATGGATGAAGCGACTAAAGAAGAGTAGCCTTGGCTCAACGCATTCACCACCTCTACGCTATCCAAATTCACTTCAATCTTACTGCATCCAATGGTATTAGCAAGATTCAAACCAAACCTCACTGCCATTGCTTCTACTGTGAACGAGTCGAAGCAGGGGTCCATTTTTTCATTAGCAGCCGCTATAAATTCCCCCCTATGGTCCCGAATAACTGCTCCAAATGTTGCTGCGAGTGTGTCATTATCAAATCTCGCATCAACGTTTAATTTCACGTAACCATACTTTGATTTCAGCCAATCATCTGATCGGACGTGAGCCTCAGTTGCTCTCAGACACCCCAAAAAAAAGTTGCTCTCAAACAAAGCGCGCTTCCCCTCTCATAGTTGTGGGCCTAGAGTATGGTGGGCTGTGGGCTGGTGGCGCGGTGGAACTTGAGACTCACTCTTCGCTGCTGGCCTTGGAAACAGAATCTATGTACAACGACCCCTCGAAAAGAAAAGGCAAATGTACAGCATGTGTACTGCACAAGGGAGGGTGTACTACTTCCGGCACTTGTACTACCCCTCCCAAGCCAACGCAGGCCGGCATGAACAATGCCCATCCCTACCGATCCATCGGTCGAGGGGGATGCTTTGCTAGCTTTATGCGTGTTTGGTGCACGTCCACCCACCGCTCACCGCCCCTTCCTTCCTTGTGCTTCCCTTCCCTGCTACGCATCTTCTTCTTCTTCCTCCTCCTGGCAGGCGTCTATTTAAGCCGGCCCCCAACCGCAATCATTGAAGCCATAACAGGTGCAGGCATCATCAAACTCTCCCTCCGACGACATCGATCGCCGGGGTCCCGATCTTCTCCTCTTGACTCCTGCTGCAACTGCCAACCATGGCCTCCGAGGTACCATCTCTTTCCCTGCCTTCTTATTTACCCAACATCTCTTTTTTTCTGATTTTTCGTAGCATGGTTCCTCTCTTCTCAGTTATCGGTTGATGAATAGATCAAGAAAATCAATAGGAAGTAGCTAGCCTAGCTAGGAGAGACTTCTAGTTTGTCGTCTATTATTATATACCCCGTGTTGGATTAGTTGATCATTCGTCAAAAAAGAAAGATTGCTTGATCGAAATAGGCTAAGATAATGTTTGATCTGTTAGAATCTAACAGAAACAAAATGTTCTCATCATATTATGGTCGGCAGACTGTTGTCCTCAAGGTGGCAATGTCCTGCGGAGGTTGCTCGGGGGCGGTTAAAAGGGTGCTCACCAAAATGGAAGGTTATTTCCTCTCTGCGTCTACTTGCTTCCTTTCAATCAAAGCTACTCCACCAATGCATTTATATCTACCTGCTTGTGAAAATCAGTTTCAACCGCAAAGGGAATCACTAAAACAAAACTCCACAGCGAATACATTGGAACTGAACTAGAATTCTACGGTGGCCTCACTGCTAATGCTTTGGTTTTTCTCCCCGTGGCAGGCGTCGAGAGCTTCGACATCGACATGGAGCAGCAGAAGGTGACCGTGAAGGGCAACGTCAAGCCAGAAGACGTTTTCCAGACGGTCTCCAAGACCGGGAAGAAGACCGCCTTCTGGGAGGCCGAAGCCACTCCGGCCGCTGCTGCCGCTGAGGCTGCGCCGGCCGCTCCTGCACCGGAGGCGGCTGCCCCGACAGCAGACGCCGCGCCTGCACCGGAGGCAACCCCGGCCAACACCGTCGCTTGATGGGCACGCATAGATGATGCCGCCGTGACCTTTGAAAACTCCAAGATATTGTTGTTGAGAGAGTCATGTGTGGGCGGTTTGCACGATGTTACTTACGAGTTGACTACAACGTAATGGAATAAACAAAGTGTGTATGACTTAGAAAAATGAACACGTCGTCGACCACATGATTTACAATAGATTTCCGTTCTATTAATGTTCTACAGCTCTTCCGTTGACGAAAGTGTTCAGTGCAGCCGTCCATGTTAAATTTACACAAAATAAAATTTGTAGTTTGAAGATACAATGTTGTATAAAGGCCTACTTGCTGCAAAAAATTGTGGGACATGTTATGTTTGGCACTAGCTTGAGACTGCTCAGGTTGGAGAAATCGCAGAGAGTCGTCAACAACTCTCCCTGCTACCGTGTATCTGCGGCTTTCTTCTACGGGGTATGTATACGCAGCTCTCTCGCACATGACAATTTATAATTTGTACCGATTGAGTTATTTGTACTCAATATTCTGTCTTTTTTTGTGGAACGAATGGCTCGTATTTGCAGTCGAACTTCGACGCTAGCGTGGAGCCGGTGGAGTTGTGCCGGGAGAAACGGACGGCACTACCAAGTACAAGATGGTGGGAGGCTGGGAGCATTACTCGTGCGGGGAGCACCACTCCTCCCAATCATGGACTGTCAGCGGGATCAAGGCAAAATATCAACTCGGCAAAAAAAAAGGCATAGTGCAAAAATGTTCCCTCCCACAGTACAAAATTTTCATCATCATAGTAAAAAACTTGATGCACATTCACCATTAAAAATATATTACCTCCGCCCCAAAATTATTGTCTTAAATTAAGACAATAATTTTGGGACGGAGGGAGTATAAAATTAGCACCTTAGGTTGTTGAACTTTGTTCATGTTCATGCACACCATGATGTTCACTATGGAGAATCCGGTTATCATGTTGTTTTTTGGCAAAAAAAATTCCGGTTATCATGTTGAACTACAATTGTATAAAAAAAACCATAAATAGCAATGCTACATCTAGAAACCAACAAATACAAATATGAAAAGAGTAATTAAAAAACAATGGAGAATACAAGACAAGGTCTATACCGTTGTAGTGTTCAAGTCTTATTATAATAATATACTAAAAACAACCCAATTCCTTTCTTGAATATCATGGATCAGGCTCATACTAAAATATAATAAATGTTAAAAATTCATAATGGATAGAACCAAAAAAATGCTGGCGTTTGTAGAACTCTTCTAGCTTTGCATAAGAATATTTTTTTTAATATCTGATATTAACTACCACCCACTGGCACTTGGCCAAAAAAGTCAATGATCACTCAGAGCTCTGAATTTCAAAGAGCATCCAAGTGTGTACATAGTCATTAGTAAGCTCGGAACATCTTTGAAACCCCAAATAAATACTCTCTCCGTTCCTAAATGTAAGTCTTTTTAGAGAATACACTAGGGACTACGTACGAAGCAAAATGAATGAATCCATGCTCTAAAATATGTCTATATACATCCGTATATAGTTTGTAGTGGAATCTCTAAAAAGACTTACATTTAGGAACGGAGGGAGTACATGTTTGTGGTAATCAATGTTTCATATTATTATCTAACTTAACATGTACTCACTCCATCCCGGATTAAAGAGCACTGCCTGACGTATGATAGAAAGTGTCTGATCCCCGTACGACACGAAACAAGGACCGTTGATTGCAACTTGACGTAGAACTTCACGGTCCATTATACAGACCATCGTACAAGTATTGGATGAGTTCTCATCATATGTATAATAATTTCAGAAATTAAAAGACCGCTGGGCCACTTCTCTCGGACCAAGTTATGATGGGACTTGTGCCAGAATTGATGTCTAGCTACCCATTAGTCCACTCATTATCCTACATGCAGCAGGAATATACACTCAAGGCATACAATTCATACCCAGAATGTGGCACTCTCTCTCCCTTACATATAACCAATGAAATAGTATTATTAATGCTTGCATGCAAAATCTAAGCCTGACAATCTTTGTAAAGACGGATGATTTATCGTGGTCAACCGCCCCTTTAAACCTAAACAGAGAAATAGACATTTTAATTAGTAATTCAAAGGCTCGAACATGCATAGACATACCACAAGCTATTAAAATTAGTAATAAAGGACAACCGAACATTAGGAAATTAAACGTTCAAGTTTGTAACTAGTGCAGAACCGGGCAATAGCACCGGTTCGTAAGGGGCTTTAGTGCCGGTTCGGTAACCGACACTAAATTGTAGGCACTAAAGCCCTCCCTTTAGTACCGGTTCAGCACGAACCAGTGCTAAAGGGCAAACACGTGGCATGAGCCAGCTTCGTGGGCGCGTAGAACATTAGTACCGGTTGGTAACACCAACCGGTACTAAATGTTTTGGTGTGTTTTGGTTTTATTTTTTATTTTTACTTTAATTTTGTGTTTTTAATTTAATTTAGTGATTGTTTTATATTATAATGAGTTGTTAAATCATTAGGTGATTAGTTTGACTGGATGCGTGTGGATCCTAGCTAAGTCATTAAGTATATGTCATATCCATATTATATATACTTGATCACCTACTTAAGTGATCGAGGTAATATGGATATGGCATATACTTGATCACTTAGCTAGAATCCATCCAGTTGAAACTAATATGCAATTTCTTTCATAAATGATATAATAACTCATCATCATCATCATCATATTAATTAATATAAAAACTCTTGCATCATATATATCATCACCAACGGTTTTCATAGCAAAGATATCATCGAGTTCAACATGGTAATGATATTATAAGCGTTCATAACACCACAAAAGCAAATCACTCTTTGAGATTAAGTTTAGGACGAAGAACACGGACATGAGAGGACAAGTACTAAGAGCATGAACTAGCTAATTAATCACTCCTGCTGCTCTCTTTGAGGTAAAATATCATAGAACATGTATAGCTTTGCTGATTCATCATATTGGAGCATGCAGATGAACCTGTCTCCTAATCATGGGTTGCGCTTCTGATTGCTGCCCCCTAGTACTTCTCTGTGATCCTTCACAATTTTGCTCCAGTCTTTTACTATTAAGCATTCCTCGCTATTAGAAATCCTGAATGCACTAAAGTGCATTATAGGATATCTTGGCCGTAAGCTAACAATATTCATGGTACCTTTAGTCTCGATCCAATCAGGCACAACATTCATCGGGAGTCCCTGTTGAAGAAGATCGTATAGTAACATACTTAGCAATGAAGTTTAGCTTTAAAAAATAATGTATGCAAAAGATGCACTGAGGAGAAATAGTAGAAATCTTACCATCTTTCCTAAATATATGTGACCGTAGTTCAGTACGAACACTATTGGTCGCACGTTTTGAGTACTAATATTTCTAAGTGTAGGAAAGTAATTTTTCTTGACAGCATCAAGATCCTCAAGCCATGAAACATAATGACTTGTCTCCTCGCAGTTTAGTTCAGCCCCGGGACAGTGGACGGTCCTGTTTACCAAGCGCCGGACATGTTTGCTTGATTGGAAGTAAGCTGTCAATATAAATTGAGATCTATTAATTATTCAACTAGTTTAAATAATCTCATATCAAAGACATAAATATGGTTGAGAAACTCACATAATGGTAGAACTGGAGGCGTCTGCACATCGACCCAGATATCTCTGTTACCTTCAATATCATCTTCCAGACGAATATCAAAGGTGATAACCATATCATGCTCAAATGCATAAGCCTTGCATAGTGCTTGCCAAGTTTTGCATTCAAAATAGGTGTATGTGTCTGCATTGTATAATTTGACGTTGAAGGTATAACCATGCTCGGTCTTTAAGTAAACTCTTTTTACCTCCATAGTTTCGTCAGGACTGAAACCTATCTTATCCAAGACAAAAATTCTTGCATGGCAAGGGATACGCTAGTAGAATAGTGAAAAATTAAAATTAAAAGGTGAAGCAAATGAAGCATAAGTCATGCTTAATTACGAAAAAAGACTTGTCGTTGTGACTTACTGTATCCACTTCGAAGTTCTCATCCAGCTTGATGCTGAAGCGTCTATCATCAACTAGAAAATTTCTGCCGCACAGGCCGCGCTGGTCTTTGCAGTATTCGCACATAATAAAATTGTGTTCGTCGTCAGACGACATTCGTATGTTCATAGGTGAAACATTAAACACTTATTAGTTCTATTAATTTAACTAATTCTGTTAATTCAACTAGTTCAACTAAGCACTTACGAAGAATATACCTAATTAATTGAATTAATTCAACTAACTAGTTCAACTAATTAATTCAAGTAAACTAGTTCTATTAATTTTCTTACTAAAAATAAGGTAGCTAGTTCTATATAATAAAATGTTAATTAGATAATGAAATCTCATATAACTAAATTAAATATATATATCTAACATATAATTTATATGTAATATCTAACATATATGTTCATATATAGGTGAAACATTAAACACTTACTAGTTCTATTAATTCAACTAAATAAACTAGTTCTATTAATTCAACTAAGCATTTACTAAAATAAACTAGTGTATTAATTTCTTACTAAAATAAAGTAGGTAGTTCTGTATAATAATATTTTGATTAGATCATCAAATCTCATATACCTAAATTTTCTTACTAAAAATAAACTTGTTCTATTAATTTTCATACTAAAAATAAACTAGTTATATTAATTCAACTAGTTCAAATCTCATATATATACCTAATTAATATCTAGCTATACTAATTCAACTAGTTCAACTTGTACTAATTCATGTAAAATATATTTGACATTAATATTTAACATCTTTTCCATAGAATTCATCTAACATTAACATTCTAACATTATTATCTACGTAATTTATCTAACATTAATCTAAACAACAGAAAATAGAAAATAAGTAAAAACAATATGTGTGTGTATGTGTGTGTGTGTGTGGTGTGTGTGTGTGTCTCTCTCTGTGTGTGTGTGTGTGTGTGTGTTTGTGTGTGTGTGGTGTG